TTTTTTTTTTTTTTTTTTTTTTGTTCATCATTACTGTTGTTGATTTAAGAAACTAAAAATCACATGAAATTTCCTATTTCCAGGGCAAACAAAAAGGCGATAGAGGGAGTAAGTAAGATTACCGATCTTCCTTGTGTTCGTGTTGGTGAAATGGTACATGAGGAGATGAACAGTTCTGATGCTAAACCTCTGATTATACGAAGATAGAACACCTTGCAACTCCTTATCATCAATAAACCCGCTCCCATCCTGATCGGCTACTTGAAAACAAGTAACAATGCTCGGATCAGTACCAGGCGGAAAAGCCGAGGGCAAGAGTGAGGCGAAAGGGCTTCCATAAGCAGATGGCGGTGGATAACCATGACCGCCGTAAGACTGATGACTTCCACCAACTCCGCCGTGAGACTGATTAGGCTTGTCCTTGTGCGGTTTTTCACTCGGATTTGACCCGTAAGGTGCCGACGGTGCGCCGTATGGCGCAGCCACCGGAGCGTACGGCTGCTGAGAATGAGGCGGAGGATGTTGCGAGCCGTAGGGTGAAGAACCGTAGGGCTGAGCCGTCGGTGGTGGAGCTCCGTAACCACCGGCGCCGCCGTAGCCGTAACCGTAACCGGAAGGCTGATTTGGATAACCCGACATTTTTTTTCTCCCAAGCAAAAAAGCAAACTAAATTGAAGGAGCTGATCCCAAGTAGATGTAATAAATTGAAAGTCTTCATCTGGTGGAGGGTTTATATAGAGATTGGATGGTGTGATTGTCCACATCAATTTCAAGATTATAAAAAATAGAGAGAAGATAGCTTTTTTTTTTATTAATGGTATTACGAAAATGCCATATCCATAATTGATGACAAATTTAAAAGGTGAGTCTAAATTAATTATAAAGTATGAAATTTATATTTAACATTAAATTAATTTTAAATAGTTAGGTGAAGTTTGTAAAATATCTTAATAATTGAAAATGACGTATTTACCCTCTCAATCTAACTCCAAAAGCTTTGAAAAATGTTTATAAATTATTTATCAATTTAATATTTAACAAAATTTATTGAGCTGTAAAAAAATAAAATTTAAATATATATCTAATAAATAAATTAAAATTTAAGTGACAACAGCACTAAATTTAAATAAATAAATACTTGTTTGAAGTAAAATATATACATATATATATATATATATATATATATATATCATCTTTGTAATATCATTTTTGTTATTTATCCGAATTTGTTAAACTCCAATTTAAAAAGAGGGGTAATATTGTAAATTAGGATATGAACGTGGCGCGTAAAAGTTGGCAGAAATGCAGCGCGTGGAGGCAGGTGTTGATTACTTGAGAGTTTTGCGCGTACGGAGTCTGATCTGGTGGAAGGCACGACAAAATTTAGAAATTAATTTGAATTTGTATGTCAATAATAATACGCGCTCTTTACGGTCAATAATACTACGCGCTCCGCTGGCTGCTTCTCCCTTCTTTCTTATTTCTTCAAAGCGAAGGAATAAAAGAATCCCCCCGTATTTGAATTTTGATGGCTTTAATAAAATGACAACAATACCCACGTTCCACCCATGACTACAAACCCTTTGACTTTTTCCTTTTTAAGTAAAATAAAAGTCAACGCTCAAAAAATATGTTCTATCCAACAACTAACAATTTTAGTCTTTATCCTACAAATATTATTAAAATTAATGTAATTATAAAGACTAAGTCGTTACCTAATAAAAACTAATAATTAGATTAGAGATGTTCACGGGGATGGAGACAGGTACGAGGACTCCAACCTCGTTTAGCTAACGAGAGAAATCTTTTTTTTGCTACCCGTCCTCTCATTCGGGGAAGGTTCCCCAGGGCCCCGACTTATGTAGACATCTCTAGCTAATCTTAGGAATGATGTAAAAAATATCTTTTTCAACTCATACCTCCCGACTCCTCCTCGCTATTGCTCAATCTTGTTCGACTCATGTAGTTCACTTTCCTTTTCCCCCTCTAAGTTGTCCTACCAATACATTACGCGCATTCTATAGATATCATAAATATTGTTTGGGAGCTTGAAGCAACTTACCATATGGTTCGACATCGATTTAGTTATCGACTTATCGCTTTAATTTTGAAGTTTACGGTTTAATTCGATAGAATCAAAAATTAAAATGATCAAATATATTATTTTATGTTCTAGTAGGGCAATTAATTCCTGAGTTATTTCAAACGTTTCGTTTTTATGTGAATAAAGTGAACAATTAACCCATTTTATTGTGTTGTACTAATTTTCGGGTGGTGCATTGATGCCATTTAGTAGAGTAGTTTATTCACTTATATATATATGAGATCCTACATCGTTTGGAGAGGGGAACGAAACATTCTTTATAACGGTATGAAAACCTCTCTCTAGCATACGCATTTTAAAAATTGTGAGGCTGACGACGATACATAACAAGCCAAAATGGACAATATCTACTCGTAGTGAGCTTGAGTTGTTACAAATGATATAAAAGTCAGACACTAAATTGTGTGCTAGCGAGGACGCTACGCCCTCGAGGAGGGTGGATTGTGAGATCTTACATCGATTAGAGAGGGGAACGAAACATTTCTGATAACAATGTGAAAACCTCTTCCTAACAGATACGCTACAAATCATGAGCTAACTCAAAGTTGTAGGTTTACCCCACGTTACACCACCTTTAGCTAGTCGGGAAGGTCACATACCTAATAACTTTGATGCCTTTGTCTATTGTGAGCTAACTAACAAGTTGCCTTTACATGTGATATGGGAAAAGTAGTCACCTAGAGTTGGCAAGTGAGCGTTTTTGTAGGCTCGTTTATGGTGTGTTGATATACCTTTTCATTTAAGGTTTTTTTTTGGTTCTTCCTGTTTGTCTCGTGATTTCCAACAAAAAAAAAAAAAACCCTCCAAATGCATTATTCGATAATGCACACTGTCGTCAATTTCATGTCACTTACCTCGAAGTTCCGACAAGCATTTGATTGTCTCAAATTCAATCAATTGTCGTCTACGGGAGTTAAAAACACCTAGTAATTAAGTGTTTATACACCTAGTAATTAAGTGTTTAACACGAGTGATGTAATAAATTTAAGTGAGTTTAGTTAAGTTTTAAGAATTTGTTAATATTCACATAAATTATGAATATGAAATAAACTTGAAATAATAACTATAATTCACCCAAAAAAACAAAAAAAACAACCGGCGTTACCGGCCAACCTTTCAAAGACACGGCGGCGACGAGCGGTTTTAATACCAAATGTCGCAAAACCGGCGCACGTTAGCGACGCCTCTCCTTCTTCGTCTTCCTTATCCTGCGCCGTCCTTCTCAACACTGCGTCGTCGTCCCCACTCTCAGTTCCCAAAATCCCAATCCTTTCCTAGGGTTAGGGTTTCCACTTTCTCTCTCATCTACACTATTCTTCCGATGCAATTCGCAGATTCTGCGTCCCGTTTCTCTGGTTTTCACTCGCTTCCTCGTCGTCATTTTTCACATGGACCGTCACAGGCAATCCAAGGACTTGTTCTACTCCAACCTCTTCAACCTTGAGGTTTCCCATCTCCCTTTCTGCTTCTTTTTCGCAATGTTTTTAATTTTTCGAGTTTTTAGGGTTTTGTGTTTGGTGTTCATGCGCTGCCGATTAGTTGCTTTCTTGTTTGTGTTTTAGTAGGGTTGGGTGATTTAATTGTTTTTTTAATGTTTGTTGTTGGGATTGAATGTGGGTTTTAGTCGATTTTTTTTATTTGTTTGAAAGTTTTGGGTCCTGCTGCAGCCATTGGTGAACTTCCAACTTCCGCAACCAGAGGATGATTTTGATTATTATGCTAATAGTAGTCATGATGAGAGCAGAGATAGCCCAGGTACATGTTTTTGTGATTAAATCTGTGATATCTGATTCGCCCCCTACTTGCAAATGTACTAGAGATGGAAGATTATGGCTATAAATATATTTTTCTTGAAGAGGGTGTGTACTGATGGTGGATGAATATCAGGTAGAACAATTACAACACAGGGTAATGGTACCATGACTAAGAGAGAGTTGAGCTTGGTGAGAAAAAGAAGGCAGTCCCTGAACAGTGAGGAGGAGGAGGATCATGGTGCGAACGATTACTACGGGACGCACGTCACTGAAGAGCGGTATCGGCAAATGCTTGGAGAACACATTAAGAATTATAAGCGAAGGTCTAAACACCCATCTCCCATGCCTGCACGTATGGGTAATTCAGTGTCCAAAGGTAACTCAAGTTTAAGAGCTAGGAGGTCAGGGAGTGAACAACATGAAGGATTTCTTGAAATGGAAACAGCAAATGATTATAATCCTCATAGACCAGGAATTCATCATGATCCGGATTTTGCTTCGCTGCTTACCCCTAACAGGTTTTCTTTTTTAAATGATTATCTCAAGAGTGAGAAGTCTTTTAGTTTTGTCATCATTTTAAGATCTTTATGTTCTTGCAGAGTAATATATGAGCCTGCATATTTGGATATTGGGGATGGCATCATTTACAAAATTCCCCCAACTTACGCTAAGCTGGCCGCTTCACTGAACTTGCCGAGCTTCTCTGACATCCAAGTAGAGGAAGTTTACTTAGAGGGTACTTTGGATTTGGGGTCTTTAACATCCATGATTGCTGATGACAAAAGATTTGGAAACCGAAGCCAGGCAGGGATGGGGGACCCTCGGCACCAGTATGAATCGCTTCAGGCAAGATTAGATGCCTTGTCAGCTTCAAACTCGTCACAGAAGTTCAGTCTTAAAGTATCTGATATTGGGCTGAATTCATCCATCCCTGAGGGGGCTGCTGGAAGTATAAAGCGAGCTATTTTATCCGAGGGTGGCGTGCTACAAATATATTACGTAAAGGTTTTGGAGAAGGGAGACACTTACGAGGTTTATAATCTGTTATAGTAAATGATCAGTTTTCATTTTTTTCTTCATATTTGGGAGGGATTGGATGTTCATTTCATATATTTTGTACTGCAGATTATTGAACGCAGCTTGCCCAAGAAGCAAAATGTAAAGAAAGACCCTTCTGTCATAGAGAGAGAGGAAATGGAGAAGATTGGAAAAATCTGGGTCAACATTGTAAGGAGAGACTTGCCAAAACATCACCGAAATTTCACAGCATTTCATCGAAAGCAGCTAATTGATGCCAAGAGGTTCTCAGAAATTTGCCAAAGGGAGGCATGTATTATTTATTCCTTATTGGGGTTATGGATTTTGGTTAAACTTTAGCTTCTAGTTATGTACTTTATCTGGAACGTTTGTAGTGTGGTTTCTTGACCACGGTGTCGTTATCTTAAACAGGTGAAAATGAAGGTCAGCAGATCACTTAAAATGATGAGGGGTGCTGCTATTCGGACAAGGAAATTAGCTAGAGACATGTTGCTCTTTTGGAAGCGTATTGATAAGGAGATGGTATTCTTCTTTTCTTTATGAAGTATTTATCTTATTTGGTTGTAAGTAGGGTTTTAAAGTGCGTGTTTAAGCACGCTTTGTTGTGCCTTGATATAAAGTGATGCGACCTTGTAAGACACATGTTTTGGTGTTCCGCTTGTGCCTCGTACCTTTATACTTGGCCTCAATTTCTTGTTCCTAACATCATGGATGAAAATGGACGTAATTCCTATGCTAAGAATCTCTTAGACATTTTCTTTTCTTTTTTGATTCCATGTTTCAAAATTTTCTTCTTTAGATAAAAACTCAACTATCATTGAAAAAGAAAAAAACATGAAGATTATGTTATTTGTTTCACCTCATTAAAGCCTATACTTCCATTTTACGTTAATGCATTACTTCTAGTGTATCGCGCTTTTTGTAATTTTAGTAGATTGGAGAATAAGCCAGATACTCCCCCTCTCCACACGCTTGCCTGCTTTCCACTGCATTCATTCAATAAAACTGTTGAACTGTTAATTAAGGAATTTATTTATTTTTACAGGCAGAAGTGCGGAAAAGGGAGGAAAGAGAAGCTGCTGAAGCTTTGAGACGGGAGCAGGAACTTCGAGAAGCTAAGAGACAGCAGCAGAGGCTCAATTTTCTTATACAACAAACAGAACTTTATAGTCATTTTATGCAGAACAAGTCTAATTTGCATCCTTCTGAAGCTCTGCCTTTGGGAGATGAAAAACCAGATTACCAGGAAGGGACTTGGAACTCAGATAGCATGCCTGCTGAGGAAGAAGATCCTGAGGAGGCTGAACTGAAGAAGGAGGCACTTAGAGTTGCTCAAGATGCAGTCTCGAAGCAGAAAAGGTTAACAAGTGCATTTGATGATGAATGCTCAAGACTACGCCAAGCTTCTGAACCTGATCCAAATGAAGTTGCCGGAGCTAATAACATCGATCTGCTTCATCCGTGAGTTTTCTTTTTCGTTTTTTATAATTAAAATTTTCTTCCCATTTTGGAGTTTGAGGCAATTGCAATATTTTAGTCAAGTTAATGGAACTATATTGTTGTTTGGCAGCTCAACCATGCCTGTAACTTCAACAGTACAGACACCTGAGTTGTTTAAAGGTAGCCTTAAAGAATATCAGCTAAAAGGTCTCCAATGGTTGGTCAATTGTTATGAGCAGGTTGTACGAAGTTCCTGTTAAATGATTATCTTGGATTCTTTTTTGTTGTTAAAAAGTTAAGCTTTAGTGGCATGGTTCTACAGGGTTTAAATGGTATACTTGCTGATGAAATGGGCCTTGGAAAGACCATCCAGGCAATGGTATTTTTGGCTCATTTGGCTGAGGTAATGATCATACTAAGTTCTTTAAGTATTATTTCTTTCTTCGTATTGACTACGATCACTCTTCTCGTATCAGGATAAAAATATATGGGGGCCCTTTCTTGTTGTTGCACCTGCATCGGTCTTGAACAATTGGGTCGATGAAATCAATCGTTTCTGTCCTGACCTGAAAGCTCTTCCATATTGGGGTGGGGTTACAGATCGTGCAATTCTTAGGAAAAAGATTAATCCCAAGAATTTATATCGCAGGTAATCTTAAGTTGTAAATAAAGTAAATTTAAAAGAATAAAACTTAAAGGTGTAGCTCTACTTTTATGATTGAAGTTATATTGCAGGTAATCTTATGCCTGTTCTTTTCTTCCTTTTTCCCCACTTCCATGGATGCTTGTCATCATCTTATTTGTTTTCTTTCTTTATCTGTCTAGGGATGCTGGTTTTCACATCCTCGTTACCAACTATCAGCTACTTGTTGCTGACGAAAAGTATTTTCGGCGTGTTAAGTGGCAATATATGGTATTGGATGAGGCACAGGCAATCAAAAGTTCGACGAGGTTTGTTCCGATTTAGAACCAGTTGGATCAGGATAGGGTGCTATGCTTTTGTTAACATAAAATCGTCTTGCTCGTGCCATGAGTGTTTTAGTAAACAACCAAACAGTTGAATGGTATTAGTCAGCAGAAGCACCACAATTATGACCGTTGTTTTGGCTCTACAGTAATTTGTTATTTTGTTTTCATTAAATTGCAGCATAAGGTGGAAAACACTGCTAAGCTTTAATTGTCGGAACCGCTTGCTGCTTACTGGGACACCTGTCCAGAATAATATGGCCGAGTTGTGGGCCCTTTTACATTTTATCATGCCTACTTTATTTGACAGCCACGAACAGTTCAATGAGTGGTTCTCAAAAGGGTCAGTATCGATTCGTTGAGCTTTGGTGATTTAATCGAACTTTCTAAGTAAATGTTGTCTGATTCATAGGTCTTTCCCTGCAGAATTGAAAATCATGCAGAACATGGGGGTACTTTGAATGAACACCAACTTAACCGCTTGGTAAGTACCTATGTATTAACTTCGGAATCTACCAACTTTGTCACTTTAGTTGTGATATGAAATGAAACTGCTCTAGTAGCAAGTTACATACTCGAAGTTCTTTGTTTAGATTGGGAACGTGTTGCATTTCTGTTTGACCCTTATGAGTCTCCTACTCGAATAAGTCAATATGATAGAAGTTCCTCCCCATTTTATAATATGGAGTTATAAAACTTTTCATGAAGAAAATTTAAAATTTACTTTAGCGTTGATAAAACTAGATGTAGCTTTATTCATCTACCCTCCTGTTGATGGAAAAGAGTTTGTTGGGTCAACAAATTTGAGATCTCATATCGATTGGGGAGGAGAACGAAACATTCTTTATAAGGGTGTGGAAACCTCTCCTTAGCAGACGCGTTTTAAAAACCTTGAGGGTAAGCCTGAAAGGGAAAGCCCAAAGAGAACAATATTTGGTAGTGGTAGACTTGGGCCGTTACAGTTGGTATCAGAGCCAGACATCGGGCGATGTGCCAGTGAGGAGGCTAAGCCCTGAAGGGGGATAGACACGAGGCGGTGTGCCAGCAAGGACACTGGGCCTCGAAGAGGGGGTGGATTGTGAGATCTCACATCGGTTGAGGAGGAGAACGAAACATTCTTTATAAGGGTGTGGAAACCTCTCCTTAGCAGACGCGTTTTAAAAACCTTGAGGGTAAGCTCGAAGGGAAAGCCCAAAAAGAACAATATTTGGTAGTGGTAGACTTGGACCGTTACAGTTGGTATCAGAGCCAGACACCGAGCGATGTGCCAGTGAGGAGGCTAAGCCCTGAAGGGGGGTGGACACGAGGCGGTGTGCCAGCAAGGACACTGGGCCTCGAAGAGGGAGTGGATTGTGAGATCTCACATCGGTTGGGGAGGAGAACGAAACATTCTTTATAAGAGTGTGGAAACCTCTCCCCAACAGACGTGTTTTAAAAACCTTGAGGGGAAGCCCGAAAGGGAAAACCCAAAGAGGACAATATCTGCTAGCGGTGGACTTGAGCTGTTACAACAAATGGCCGTAGAATTGCTTTCTAATATTCCTTCATTTTTTGTGTGGCCTATCTTATATATTCATCATATCTTGTAAGAAAGTTTGAAACAAGGGACGTCTCGTAATCAAGAGATCATTGTTCTTTAACTAGTTTGGATCATAAAGCCTTCTTAGACATATTTTGTATTAGTAAATGGAATTTGGATTATGGAAGGAATCAGGTATTGGAGTTATAAACGATTCAGTATGTTGCAATGCACTTTGTTGACTTATGTTTTTCTCATTTTTCTTAAACAGCATTCAATACTAAAACCTTTTATGTTGCGGAGAGTAAAAAAAGATGTAGTCTCTGAGCTTACTAAAAAGACTGAGATTACAGTGCATTGCAAGTTAAGTTCTCGGCAGCAAGCTTTTTATCAAGCTATCAAGAATAAGATATCTCTTGCTGGGTTGTTTGACAGCAATAGGCATATTAATGGGAAGAAAGCTCTCAGTCTTATGAACATTGTCATTCAGCTAAGAAAGGTATTTCATCTCTCTATCTCCACACGCACGCGCACACACGAAGTACCTTTTTTTATAACGATAATTAGAGAAATATTTTAACCGGGTAAATGGATAGGTATGCAATCACCCAGAGTTGTTCGAAAGGAACGAGGGAAGCACGTACTTATACTTTGCAGACATTCCAAATCCTCTTTTGCCCCCTCCTTTTGGGGAACTTGACGACGTACACTACTCGGGAGGCCACAATCCCATAGAGTTCAAGGTACTTCCACTTTTGCCTCTAATCTTAACATTTATTTTGTATAATTTAATTTTTTTTAAGCTATAAACATATCACTTATCTCTCAGATTTATTTCGTGTGTATTTTGTTTAACATCGTTCATCATTAGGGTCTCTGTATATGCATAATACGTCAGCATGAATATTATCGTTTAGTTCTCCAATTTACTCGCTTTTATCCAAAGGAATGACTAATAGTTGTTTTAATCTGATTATTTGATTATTAGTTACCGAAACTGGTCCACCAAGACGTTCTTCAAAGTTCAAAATCATTTGCAGTTGCACATGGCATTGGAGGATATCTTCAGAAACATTTTAACATATTTTCTTCGGAAAACGTTTATCGATCCATATTCATGCAAGGAGACTATTTACGTCAGTCATATCGTCAAAGTGGTACTTTTGGTTTCACCCATTTGATGGATCTATCCCCTGCAGAAGTTATGTTTTTGGCCAATGGTTCTTTTCTAGAACGGCTACTTTTTTCCATAACGAGATGGGACCGGCAATTTCTCGATGAAATCGTGGGATTCATTATGGAATCTATTGATGATGATGATCCAGAAAATGGTTCTCTCGAGCAGGGAAAAGTGCGCGCCGTTACAAGACTGTTGTTGATGCCTTCCATATCTCAGACTAACTTGCTCCGGAGAAAACTCGCAACAGGGCCTGGTGATGCTCCTTTTGAGGCTTTAATCATTCCTCAACGGGAGAGGCTTCAGTCCAACGTTGGGCTTCTTCACGCAGCATACACGTTTATTCCAAGGATTCGAGCTCCACCGGTATATTTTTTCAAGAAACTAAAACTTGGTGAAATGGTTTTTATCATTTAACGTACTTATTTAATGTTTTGTCGCTACATCTATTTTGCAGATAGGTATTCACTGCTCAGATAGAAGCTTTACTTACCGAACGGTTGAACAATTGCACGATCCTTGGGTTAAGAGATTGTTTATCGGCTTTGCACGAACATCTGACTTTAACGGACCAGGGAAGCCAAACGAACCCCACCCTTTGATTCAAGAGATTGATTCTGAAATACCAGTTTCCCAGCCTGCTCTTCAGTTGACGTACGGTATTTTCGGGTCCTCTCCTCCAATGCAAAGTTTTGATCCAGCAAAGTTGCTCACGGTTGGTGTTTTTTTCTCTTCTCATTTTACATTGACTTCAAGGAATGTTTAAGTAGGGTTCTGTAAGGAATTTATGTTAATTTTATATAGGACTCTGGGAAGCTACAAACACTCGATATATTACTGAAACGCTTGCGAGCCGAAAATCATCGTATACTCCTGTTTGCTCAAATGACAAAAATGTTGAATATTCTCGAGGTATTCATTCTTCTTCGGTATTGTTCTTGACTACTTGAAACTTTAAAACAAGACAATACCTTTTTATAAGCGCCTCGACATTATTGTTTAACAAGGTTTCTGGAGTTCGTTTGCTCGCTTTTACAATTACATGTTTCTGCAGGATTACATGAATTATCGAAAATATAAATACCTTAGACTCGATGGATCCTCCACTATAATGGATCGTCGAGATATGGTCAGGGAATTCCAACTTCGGTATGGACTCACTTGACGTCGAAATGATGGTTATTACATCGTTTTCTACTTTCAGAATCTGTTATTTTGTAATGCAATCATGTTATATTTTTTTTTTGTAGGAATGATATTTTTGTGTTCTTATTGAGCACAAGAGCTGGTGGACTTGGCATTAACTTAACAGCTGCTGATACTGTCATCTTCTATGAAAATGATTGGAATCCGACATTGGATTTGCAGGCGATGGACAGAGCTCACCGTCTCGGACAGACAAAAGACGTTAGTTTCGTTTCATCGGTGAATTTGAGATTTGGGAAAAACCTGCTTTAATAGAAACTGGGATTGCATAGTTTGACTTTAATTATGCTTTAAACCTTTTTGTGCTTGCAATTTGCTTTGTAGGTCACCGTTTACAGATTGATATGCAAAGAGACAGTTGAAGAGAAGATTCTTGAACGAGCTAGCCAGAAAAACACTGTTCAGCAGCTTGTCATGACGGGCGGCCATGTTCAAGGAGACATCTTAGCTCCTGAGGAGGTCGTTTCTTTACTTCTCGACGATGCGCAGTTGGAGCAAAAATTACGAGAAATACCTATTGTGGTTCGTTCAATTTGTCATCTTTTTCGGCTTGGAAGACGATCTTATATTTATATATTTTTTCCGTCTTTAGTTCCTTAAAATCTCTTTGTTGCTAGGCGAAGGGTAGATATCAGAACAAACAAGCGAAGGGTATAAGAGTTGATGCTGAGGGAGATGCATCCTTGGAGGATCTAATGAACACCGAATCCCGGGGTACTGAATACGACGTTCCATCTCCTGATCCCGAAAAAACTAACTCCAGCACGAAAAAGGTATTGTACTTTCTATGTCTATTATTACTAACAAACCTTAAGGAGAAACTTGAAAGAGAAAGACCAAAGAGGACAACATCTGCTAGCGGTGGGCTTGAGTTGTTACTAATGGTATTAGAGCTAGATACTGGGCGATGTGCGAGCAAGGAGGCTAAGCCCCGAAGGAGGGTGGACACGAGGTGGTGTGCCAGCAAGGACGTTGGGCTCCGAAGGGGGGTGGATTGGGAGTCCCACATCAATTGGAGAAGGGAACGAGTGCCAGCGAGGGCGTTGGACCCTGAAGCAGGGTGGATTGTTATATCCCACATCGGTTAGGGAGGAGGACGAAACATTATTTATAAGGGTGTGGAAACCTCTCCCAAGCAGACACGTTTTAAAAACCTTGAGCAGAAGCCCGAAAGAGAAAGCCTGAAGAAGACAATATCTATTAGCAGTAAGCTTGAGTTGTTACATATATTTTCAAGCCTGAGTACGAATCCATGATCATTCCCGACTTACTCCAGTATATGAAGTTCATCAACGGTTTGAGGATATAGGAGTGAAACCATTGTCGCTCCCATAGTTTTGAATGCCTATATTTTTCTAAACCAACGTGTTAAGGACCAACTTTAAATTGTTTGCTACCTCCCAACCACATTATTGCCTATACATATGTCTGACTATTTGTGCAGAGAAAAGGTGGTTCTGAAAAGCAAAGTTCATCGAAGGCTCGAAGTTTACAAAATATAAACGAAACTACCCCGGTGGTTGAGTTTGACTTGGGTGACTCTCGGCAAAACGTCGAATCTCAAACTCAGAAACCGAAGAGACCAAAGCGACCAACCAAGAGTGTAAATGGAAACCTTGTACCAGCAACAACCTCCACAAACATGGGAATTTCAGAGCAGACTCAATATCCACAATAGCAGCAGCTATATGAGGTTGATTCGACGTGGGCGCTTCATCACCCTACGAAGCAAACGAACTGCGGTCATGGAATTTGATCAGATTGATCATACTGCGTACAACATTGAAGATAAGATGGTATAATTCATCCTTCACGCTCGTGTCATGTCCTGGCATCTACACAGGTATCGTGAATGTTGTCCAGGTCCCGATCGGAGGATTGCGAGAGCTTGTCGTGTCGTGTACATATTGAGCTTATCGCCATCACACTTTCAATTGAAGATTTGAAGGTAACCAAAATCTTCTGTAATATTTTCCCCCTCATTTTGGCGGGAAAATCCTCTGTAATTATATCAATATTTGTACAGATATATATATATACATTTATGAGCTTCGTTTAAGAAGCTATGTTCTTGCGCTATCTATTGAGATGAGTCTTTAGGGTCGGGAAATGTAAATACATATGACATGTCTATGACTATTGGTGGGACCTAAATCCATGAATGGTCTTGGGTCCTACATTATATTTTGGACTGTCGGTGTATTAACTTGACTACACATGACCTACGTACATGCACAAGGACTCACCAGACGAATATCCATCCTCTCTAAGCCTAACTATTGGCATGCGCATGCCCCCCCGCATATTGAAACCACAGGAGACATTAAATACAACATGCTTGAAATCTCACCACGTGAGAGAAAATAGTAGTGCAATGATATGGTGCAACGTACATCATTTGTATTTTCATGTAACTCACATCTATGCTTTTTCTTCTGGTTCATGCTCTCGCCTTCGTTTTCACTTGGTTGGTGTCACTATCCCTCGTGTTCAACGACATTGTTGTCTTCCTTCGGTTTGTGCTGCAGCCACCTTCCTAGATTTTGCAAACCCTCTCCGAATTTTAAAAACATAAAATACGTACATTTAATTTAAAAATATCTTATTTAAATTAATTTTTAAAAACATATATTTATTTCTGCAAAAAAAAAAAATTATGTCATTTCCAAAAGGAGCCCAGTGATTAAAATCAGCCCAAACCCATAGTTGACGGAAGCTCCGGCGGCCCAATTATGAACTGAGGAGATTTAGCAAGCACAACCCTCGCCGTCGACGGTCACCCTCTTGTTCTCAGGTGAATACATCTCGTTCAAAGTTAGCTTATGAATGGTTGTACAAGATCGTCTAGGTCTGTTCTTAGAGCTTCAATGCAAGTTCTCTTATCATCTCAAAATTTATTGTGTGGTTTGTGAATGGTTGTTTCTTTTCCTCTAATCGGTTTTTGGATTCATGAAGTTCAGAATGCAGAGCTCGTTTAGTTTAGCCGGTCAGCTGGTGAAGAGGCGAGGATTTTCGACGAATTCCGAGAAAATTGTGGCGTCTGTTCTGTTCGAGAGGCTTCCAGTCGTGATTCCGAAGATTGATCCTGTTGTCTATGCGTTTCAGGAGTTCAAGTAAGTTTGTTTTCTTGTGTTTCTCTGTTTAATTTCTAAGAACTGAGGAATCTTGAAAATGGGAAAAATAAAATTAAGGAAACTGGGAGTATGTCTCGACTTGATATCCATCAGAACGGGGATTAATCAGGAAAAGGAATTCGAACGACATGATTAGTGTGATAGAGCTATGAGCTCGCACTAAAATCAAGTAACATTGGCATGGCATACGCTTCGCAGAAACAGTTTTCTGATACATCTGCTTGATTGGGCTCAGGTTTAGGTGGCAACAGCAATATCGACGCAGATATCCTGATGAATTTCTAGATAAAGCTAATGCCAGGTAAATGATCTACCATTTCGTTATGCTGTGTCCACTACATGATTTTGTTTTATGAGTTCTTTTAATTTATCTTTTTCAACTTTCTTTTTAATTCTTGTGCTATTTTAAGCACCATGTTCTGTATAGTGCTCTTTTAATCTATTTTTCATCTAATATCATTATCAGTGACAATTGAAGTAGCTATATATTAGGTATCATATTTGAGCTTATTTTATTCTTAAAGATGTAGGACAATTTTTTGTGGGCTACTAGGGTCGTGCCAGTTGAGTCCAAACTTTGAACAACACTTTCTAAGGTTCCTTTCCATTACAGTGAGTTTTAACGGATTATAATGCTCGATGATAGTGTTTCCATATACATGGTGCAAAAGAATTTTGAAAAACTGAAGTAATACCTTCGGAGTGTAACGACCCTAATTTCCAATTAAAATCAAGGTTGCCACTGGTTCAATCCGATCTAGGATGTCGAAGGGTCTGATGAAGCGAGGGGCTCAGCTTGCCCTTTCGTCAACCTCAAGACACCTTCCATTGGGGTCACCTTCAAAAAAATACTTTATCGCCTACTTCGAACTCCAGATTCCTATGCCTCACGTTGACATAACTTTTCTGCCTACTTTGAGTCGTATGCATTCTTGCCCATGATCTTTTGTACGACCTCATTGATGGCTTTGACTAATTCTGGCCCTAACAACTCATGTTCGCCTACTTCGTCCTAGCACATCGGGGTCTTGCACCGCTTTCCACATAAAGCTTCAAACTGTGCCATAACGATAGTTAGCTTGGAAACTGTTGTTGTAGGTGAACTCCATAAGGTGCAATTTTGGGTTTCAGCTACCTGCGAAATCCAACACGCAGGCACGTAACATGCCTTCCCAAATTTTGTTCGCACGTTCAGTCTGACCATCTCTCTGTGAGTGGACGATAATACAAAAGATAAGATAAGAATGTGTAGGGCTTAGAGTAGACAGAACAGTTATACTGATGTAAGGCGTAGGAATCTAGAGTTCGAAGTAGGCAATAAAGTATTTTTGAAGGTGGTCTCAATAAAAGGTGTCTTGAGGCTCTGGTGAAAGGGCAAGCTGGGACCACGCTTTAACGAACCCTTCGACATCCTATATAAAATTGGACTACTGGTGACCTTGATTTTAATAGAAAATTATGGTTGTTGCAGTTGGTTGAGCTCTGGGCTTTTAGATTCTGTAAGCTAACCTATGATGTAGGCGCAAAATGTTTCCCATGGCCTTGCAGCGAACGCTTTGTCACCGTCAAGTATGCCTTACGAAAGATACTAAGACCATGTTGTTTTGTTATGTTATTTACCTTTTATGGCATACAAATGTTAATTTATGTATTAATGGTGTTTAGATTTAACAAGATTTTTACTGTGAATGTCTAATTATAGGCTCATGAAAAGAGGTTAGCAGGCTACTTAATACTTGTATACTCATGAAAAGGATTTTTCTAAGGGAAGTTAGATGTCTATAATCAATAGACTCGAAACATAGTTAAATGATGTAGAACTATGACCTAGAGATGAAAAGGATGTACCCACGTTTTCTACTAAATGACTTCATGACCAAGTAGGCTTGATAGGTAGTAAGATCCTATAGGGTACTATGGATATCAAGAGTGGTAGCGTCGAAGGAAAATTTCATCACCACAAAGAACGTAACTATGAAATCATAGTGTTGGTATGAGCATGGAAAAGAGTGATTTGGACTTACCAAACGGAAATTTATGAGCTAACACCATGAAAGTTCAAATACTATATACTCAAACTGATTTGTGAATGTCACGAGTGTTTTTAATGGAATTTAAGTTCTGGAAGTAGAGGTCAAGACCATTATATGATGTTTGATGAAATGATAGGTTCAAAACATGATTGCATGTAATTGCATTTCTTGACTCTAACAATGGGGTTACTTATTGAGTATTATAAATAATACTCAAGCCACGTGCTATACTCTTATTTTCCAGGTAAAGGTAAGACACCCCTGCACTGATGACGACATCGTGGTGACGGCCATGGGACTGAAGCTAGGATAGATGAATTCATGTTGTTGGTAGCTCTTAGGTTAGATGAGGACATTTTTTTATTCTTTTCTTATTTTATATAAAATTTCATGTTAATTATTTTTCTCTATATTGTTTAAAGATTTTATTACGAATGCTTTAAGTCTTCGACATTATTTAGGAAATATTTTGAATGATTTTTTTTTGTAGGGTCTTTTGAAACTTGCCTCTTTTGGTAGCCAAAAGTAATTATAGAAACTTTCCTGTTATACATAGGGTTAAAGTTCACGACTTCCTTGGAGGCTGCTAAGTTGAAGCTTTTTGGTGATGAATCTTAGCGCTTCCGTCAGTAAAGAGCCTAAATTACTGCATTTTTTGGTGGTCAATTTATTTTTTCTTTCGATTATCTGCGGGGATCACTGTAGGTGAAGGATGAGCAACTTTGTAGTTCCCCCTGAATATTATGTTAGTGTATGTCTGTATATAACTATCACTTGTGCAATTAAGATTGGACGTCATCAATATTCAGTTAGCTAATTTTGTGGAGCTTATTGCGCAAACACTAGCTAAATGCAAATACATGACTTTTTTTTTTCTTTTTTTTTTGGCGGTTGTATAACTTGAACTCTGCTGATAACAGGGGAAAAGGTGACTACCAAATTGATTATGTTCCAGCTCCACGGATTACGGAAGCTGACAAAACAAATGATAGGAAGTATGCAGTCCTTTTATTTATTTATTTGGAATTGATAGATTGAAGGTTTCCTTATCAATGCTATTTTGCGGGAAAATAATAATGCAGTTCATGTGCTCTTGTTCTTGTTCATGCTTTATAATTTTCATTGTTGTGAGGAGAGCCTAGTGGAACAACACGGATTTCTGAAGTGACAAAACAAGTGATATGAGGCATGCAGTCTTTTTTATTTATTTAGAATTGATAAATTGAAGGTTTCCTTAACAATGCTACCATCACTATTGGGGGAAAACAAAAACGCAGTCCATGAGCTCTTGTTTTTGTGCATGTTTTATGTCTTCATTATTACGAGGATAGCCTTGTGTTTCTTTATTTACTCTTCCAGTTCGCCAGTGTCCTCTTGCTTCTATTATTTGGTGACCATAAGTTGTGCTGATTTTCTTTTATTCTTGTAACTATATAATGCTATTGTTGTGATAATATCATTGTCTGACTATAATTTTCTTACTTCTGGTTAATCGTGTTTTTCTTTTCCTGCAATTCTTTGATGCAACTGTCTTGATAATTGTACTGCACCTTTTTGAGATCTCAACGGCCCAAGCCCACCGCTAGCAAATATTGTCCTCTTTGGTCTTTCTCTTTCGGGCTTCTCCTCAAGGTTTTTAAAATGCGTCTGCTAGGGAGAGGTTTCCACACCCTTATGAAGAATGTTTCGTTATCCTCCCCAATCGATGTGGGATATCTCAATCTGCTCCCTTTGAGGCCCAGCGTCTTTGTTGGCACACAGCATCATATCCACCCCCCATTGTGGCTCAACTTTCTTAATGGCACATCGCCTAGTGTCTGGTTCTGATTCTATTTGTAACAGCCCAAGTCCACCTCTAGCAGACATTGTTCTCTTTGGGCTTTCCTTCAAAGTTTTTAAAACGTATCTGCTAAGGAGAGGTTTCTACACCCTTATAAAGAATGTTTCGTTCTCCTCCTCAACCAATGTGTGACTCTGGTGTCTTTGCATATCAAGAGCATGCTGCTACTTTAGGTGTACTCTACTCGTTTACTTTAGTGCTCTTACATCTTTAAAACCAGTGTTCTACTTGATTCATGTTGACCAATTAAACTTGTTTTATCCCTGCGAAAATCCATTCATTTGACTCTTGGGAAAATTGCAAGATATCATTGTCTATCTCATAAATGTTGAAACTATATTACTTGGTTAATCTATCAGACTTATTGGCATCTTTCTTGCTCTCAACTGGAGTTCTTAGATGGTGTCTTTAAAATACAATGTCTCCGTATTTCTCACTGTTGATCTAGAGTTCAGGCTATCTGATCAAAGTCATTAGTTTGCCAGATTCTAAGATCAAAATTGAGGTCCGCATTCTGATTACTTGAATTCTCCTCTTTCCTTTTAGGTCACTGCAGAGAGCACTTGACAGAAGGCTCTACCTTCTTCTCTATGGTACCACTATTGGGGCACCTGATAAGAAACCTGTCTGGCACTTTCCAGAAAAAGTATACGAGACCGAGGAGACACTGCGTAAAGTGAGAGTCGGCTATCAATACTCTTCAGTTTTCTTTCTCATCAATTTTACCCTTCTAACTTTCAAGTTCTGCAGTGTGCAGAGTGTGCCTTAGCGTCCATCCTTGGAGGTCTTTCTCATACATATTTTGTTGGAAATGCTCCTATGGCGCACATGGTTGTACCGCCTACAGAAACTGCACAAGTTTCATCTCTGAGGGTATGTCTTCTACTAAAAATTTATATCATACAAGTTTCAGGAATTTTTGCTCGAACGTAGAGAGTATTACGTTTAGTATAATGTGGTCGTTTACTCGTATTCTTAAACGAAATCTCTCCTCTTTTCCAGAGGTTCTTTTTTAAGTGTCAAGTGATCGCAACCAATAAATTCAATATTGAGAAATGTGAAGATTTTGTGTGGGTTACAAAGGATGAATTGATGGAATATTTTCCTGATCAAGCTGAATTTTTCAAGAAGATGATCATCAGTTGATGCAAGTAGATTGATCATATAAGCCTCATAGATTGTTTCAATCAACAAATTCCTGGTGAGTTTGTAAGTGAAATGGTGGGTCAAGTTATGAACCCCTAAATTATGGGCTGAAGCTGGAGGCTTTGTTTGTTGTTCTGATATAATCTGGATGAACGAGGAAATTTCCTCTTCCTATTCTAAATGGTTCGATCCTCTTATTTTGATTTCTCGAACCAATGAAAGTAATTATTTGTTCATTCTCAAAATTTTGAGTATCGCTTATTTTTACAATATTGTTTCCTAATCATATTTAAGCTAAAAGCTCTAATTTAGAGTTCAAACTTTATAGGTTGTATTAAGTCAGAGATTTTCAATAATATATGTTCTTAATAATTTTTAGCATATAAACTAAATTGAAAACCGGGACGATTAAATAAAATATTATTATGATTATTTTTAACATAATTCAGTATCTCAAATTAAATACAATGCCATGTATAAATATTGTTCATATCCATTTTTTTTTCTTTTTTTAAACATAATTAAGTATTTTCAATTCTTAAATTTTAAAATTTAAAGAAAAAACAAAAATTAACCTTTATAATTTAACATATTACATGTTCCATGACATCAAAAATTAAAACATTCAACATCGTAGTTTAAGGGTATTTTAGTAATTTAACATTAAATTAAATTAAATTAAAAATGTATTTTTATCCCAAGAACATTTGTTTGATGAGACTCAAAGCGCTCTCATAGCATCTTTTCATTTTGAGGTTGAGTTGAAGCTTTTGCGACAATGGCGGAACCATTAAGCGGAGGGAGCCACGATCTCGAGCAGACCTTGAAGCCCTTCTATCGAAGAGCCTCCGAAGCCGAGGTTTGATTGCTAAACCCTTCACTTTTCTCCCATTTTCCCTTCTAAATCGAACGCCTTCTTAGGACGCGCCGCCTCTTATCTTTGTCGCATGGAATTTCATTTTTGGGTGAAATTGATGAATATGTTTTAGGTGTATTTCATTGCAATTACTTTGGATTACTGTTGAAATATTTGAAATGGGTGGGAAAATGAGTGATGAAGTTTAGATTTAGTCTCCTAGATTTTAGAAAGGGAGTTTGATTGAAGTTTTTGGCAGTCAGAGGTACTCCGATTAAGGATAATTTCCAGCTCTAGGGCAGTATGGAGTTAATACTTACTCTTAAGTCGTATCATACCACTCGTTGGAGAAAGTGTCAAGCTGTACACTTATGATGCCTCTCTTAGACCTTACTTTCAAACCATGGTGTATATATGCATGTATATTACCTGTTAGCAGCCAATGTTGTCCTTTTTGGGCTTTCTTTTAAGGTTTTAAAACGTGTTTGCTACGGAGAGGTTTCCACACTCTTATCAAGAATGCTTTGTTCTCCTCCCCAATCGATGTGGGATCTCACAATCCACCTCCCTTTGGGACCCAGCGTCCTCGCCGACACTCGTTCCTTTCTCTAATTGATGTGGAATCCCCCAATTCACTCCCCTTCGGGGCCCAGCGTCCTTGTTGGCACATCGTCCGATGCTAGCTCTGATACCATCGGTAACGGCCCAAGCCCACCGCCAGCAGATATTATTCCTTTTGGGCTTTTCCTTCCTGGCTTCCCCTCAAGGTTTTAAAACGCGTATGTTTGTGTGTTATAAGATATAATGCAGAGCTAGACATTTGTAAGGTGAGCAGATTTCTAGTGTGATACGCTGAGATGTGTATAAAATAGTTCAACATTCATTGTTGTCACAAAAGATCATACTTAGCCATATCAAAGTGTTAGGAGTACTACGATACCCAATCATCCTGAGATAGCCTAGTAGTTATCGGGTTGGAAAAAGTAAAAAAAAAAAAATATATATATATATATATTGTGGACCTTGGAGAGAATTGATTCAAACCCCGTAGTAGCCCTATCCATATCTTAAGATATTAAAATCTTACAAATTTTTTTAACACAAAATGTTGTAGGACGATCGATTGTTCCATGAAATTAGTCAAGGTGTTCGTAATCATACTAAGACGCTCACATTATGTAAGATAGACCTATGAGCAATATGTCTGAGTACTGCTGGCACTGGGCATTTGTGTTGTTATGATGAATGAGTGTGCTCATTAGTGACCATGGAGTTTAGAAATTTTTTTGTGTGTTTGCTTAAGTTTTGGTTCATCTTAGTTAGTGATCTTCTAATGAAATGAAAGCCAAGATTCATTTCTTCTTTAAAATAGATAAAGGCGGGAAACGGCCGAAAACATTCCACATCGGGCACATGGTTAGAGATAGTAAGCTTGTTGCTAGATTGTTTTGCTGACTAATTCATTTAAGTTTTCTACAACCGCGCAAGCCCACCGCTAGCCGATATTGTCCTTTTTAGGCTTTCATTTCAAGGTTTTAAAACATGCATGCTAGGGAGAGGTTTCCACACCCTAGTAAGGAATGCTTTATTCCCCTTTTCAACCGATGTGGGATCTCATAATCCACCCCCTTGGGGGCCAGCGTTATCGCTAGCACATCGCCCAGTATTTAGTTCTGATACCATTTATAACCAAGTAGATATTGTCCTCTTTAGGGTTTTCCTTCAAGGTTTAAAACACGTCTGCTAGGGAAAGGTTTCCACACCCTTATAAGGAATGCTTCGTTCCCCTCTTGAACCAACGTGGGATCTCACATTTTCCCTCTTTTTCTATGTGATTCTATTGATTGTTTTAAAATGCGCAAGGGTAACAATGCACAAATTTGGAGGTTAATTGCAGAGTTAGGCATTTGTATGTCCCAGTGATCTACAAGATATATGTAGAAGACTCGGGCCCAAAAACTGACCTTTTCAAATAGATTAAGGCTGCAAAATATGTTGTCTAAGACTTAGACTAAGGAAACCAAGTGATTAAGTTGTTGTCTTTAGTAGTAAGATTATTTGTCACTTGTAGTCATTAGGAAAATAAGAGGCGAAGAAGCCTTACGAGGGATACTGATCGAACCCGAAATATATTGCAGTGTAAACAAGAAAACGAACTACAGTATTTGAGGTACTTGGAACCTCCCCTCTCTTGAGCATACTAACTCGAGCCTTAATCCAACTAGCTACTGTCTAACTTATTTCTTTCCTACTCTATTTGTTGATAACGAATTACATTAACTACTTGTTACGGCTCAAGCCCACTGCGAGAAGATATTGTTTGCTAACGAAATACATTACCTACTTATAACGGATAATATCTGCTAGCGGTGGGCTTGGGCTATTACAAATGGTATCAGAAGTAGACACTGTGTGGTGTGCCAGCGAGGACAACCCAAAAAGGACAATATCTGCTAGCGGTGGGCTTGGGCTATTACAAATGGTATCAGAGCCAGACATCGGGCGGTGTGCCAGCGAGGATGTTGGGCCTCGAAGGTGGGTGGATTGTGAGATCCCACGTCGATTGGAGAGAGGAACGAGTGCCAGCAAGAATGCTAGGCCTCGAAGGGGGTGAATTATGAGATCCCACATCAATTAGAGAGGGAAACAAGTGTTAGAGAGGACGTTGGGCCTTGGAAGGGGTGGATTGTGAGATCCCACATCGGTTGGAGAGGGGAACAAAACATTTTTTATAAGGGTGTGGAAACCTCTCCCTACCATATACGTTTTAAAAACTGTGAGGCTGACGACCATACGTAACGGGTTAAAGTAGATAATATCTGCTAGCGGTGGGTTTGAGTTATACTACTTCTCTAACTAGTTGCTAATATACCTTTAATACTGTTATAACATTCCTATCAGACAGACCATGATAGGATAGGTAGAGAGTGAGGTGAAATTATTTTTAATCTTGTGCTTGATTTGGTATCAAGTTTTAAAGATTTTTTCTGAAAGTTTAGTTGATTTTGGTTTACCGTTATTATGTATTTGTACTTACGACAATGCGTTTTTATTTTAAGGATCGTTTGTCGAGACTAGAAGCTGCGCTTTTGAGTAAGAAAGGTACGACTCATGGCTGTTTCCCTTTTTAGAGAAACCATACTTTCATAGAGCAAATGAAAGAATTAACTCATGGGTAATTTTTATTTTATTCGAATCACACCAAATCACCAATGACACAAACATGTATGAATGTGGATTTCACATCATGTGTTTCTGATTATCGACAACCCGTCCATCTAGATGCTCACGACGAGGAACATCTTAAAACGATAAGCGAACTCCAGTCGAAGCTAGACAGCGCAAATGAAGCGCTAATTGCAGAACAGAAAAAGGCAAGTAGTATTTGTTTGTTGTTTGTCCATGGGTAGATGAAGAGGTCAAAAAAGAGAAAAATGGACGTTCTTATTTGGGATTATTTTGCAGGCTGAGATGGTTGCTGCAGAAAATGCAAAGCTCCAGTATCGCATACTCCATCTTGTGAGGGCAGCAAGGGGAACACGTTAAAAAGTTGGAGCAAAAATTCATTGACTTTTTTTTTTTTAATTTCCCTTACAATTTTTACAAACTTTTTGGAAGGCCATTGTTGAGATAGTTAGTTCAAGAATTTGAATGAAATTCTTTAGACCACAAATTGGGAGATGAAATTAGGGGTAACCTCTGATTTGATCTTTTTTTTTTTCTTCTTCTTTCTATTTATTAGAGATTATAAACAATTTTTTTTTTCTCTCTTACATTTTAGAATCATTTTTAATATTTTTTTTTTGTTAAAATTAAAAGAATAAACAAAAGGTTTGATCGAACAAAAGTTAATCGTAAGTTTTATTCTTAAACTTTCAAAATGATCTTTGAAGCATATAGAAGCTGGCTATGCAGACACTTCGAGTCACATGAACATTTTGTTCATCCATGCGACGACCCCATCAAGTCCTCGCTCTAGCAAATACCTCACGACACCTCTCTCAAACACCCCATGACCCCAGGTTGGTTTTTCTTTGGTTTTAGCTCGATTCAGACAAGTTTTCTACAGTTTCAAGATGGTTCATGGTTTATTTGAGGCTTTCTAAGATTGATAGTCATGTACAAATAAGCGGTAGATGATATAAATGAGATTTAAAATGTCAAAAATTCTGTCAAAAAAAAGTTTCGAATTTTCATGCTGAAGAAAAATAAAACAGTAAAGACAATTTTTACAATTTAACATACAATTTAAGCCAAGGGAAAGATAAACGCAACATTGTTGACATTTTAAAAAACCAAAAAGAATATATCCCATTTAAAAGGAACGAAACCCCAGAAAATTTTATGAAATACATTAATTTCTTTTAAAAGAATTAAAAATCGAAACCAGAAAATAGAAAAAATTCCAAGGACTCCTCAAGATCCAAAATCTAATAACAATAATAAAGTTTAAATCAAATTTAAATCTATAAAACTTACAAGAAATTAGTTCTATTTTGGTCTATAAATCCAAAACAATGTTAACAAAAAAAAAAAACTACAACCAATTTAACACCCAAGAACGAAGTAGGAATTTAATACAATACATCGTTACCTTAGGCATAAATTAATTCGACTGGTTAAGACATATCTTCAAACAAGAGGTTAAGAAAAAAAGAAAAAAGCTTCTTTGGAACTCCGAGCAGTTCGACTTTCTCAAATCCACAAAAGTTGAAGGGTTACTGTACATAAATATGGCAGCAGCAACCTAAAAACTACAACCAATTTACCAAAGCTGAAATTTAAAAATACCACCATAATCCAAAACATCTATACACGATATAGAAATTCCTATCTGATATCCTAAATATCTCCATTTTTTAACCTACCCATTTTAGTTTGAATGCAATGTACTATCACTTCACTTTGATCCCCTGCAAAAGACCCCGTGTACTCTTTGTTTCATGATTTTTCCTAGCTAGGACAAAATATTTCCAATAAACTAAGACTGATTAAAGAGAAAAATAAATATACCAACCTTGGTAAGTCATTCCAAAAGCTTTTGAACAAGCAGGTCGAGCAGCACCCTTTTGCGAAGCTTGTGATATTTGGTCAAGTTGTGTTCCTTTGCAATAATCCTCAGTTCTGCTAGACTCTTCAGTTTGAGATCTGAGGAAGGTAAAAGTGCCAAAATTTCAGCTATGCGATCATCCGTGGCGGCGGCGCATGACTTCATTTGTTTGTTTTCCCCAGTTCCGCTGTCGTCGGGTTTGATCTGATCTGAACTAGAAATATCATTAACAGAAGTTACATCTATGAGCTCTTGTCCAACCAGCATTTTTGAAGTCCCTTTATTTTGGGATGAAGGACCTAAGTTTTTCTCAGTGTCAAGAGCACAGTCCTGCTTTTCAACCCTGAGCTGACAAGGTTCAAGAGGCAGATCTAAGCAGGCATTGTCTCCAACTGCTCCTGGCTTTCGATGCTTTTTTGCTTTAGAAATCGGAGTATGTGATTTGCTCCGCCCCTTTTCGGTAAATTCTTTAGGCTTGTGATCCATATTTGAATATGACTTCTCATGACAAACATTCTCAACATTTAGATAATCGTCTAGCAATAACTTGTTTGTCTCCTTGGTCTGGGTTCTGACCAAATCGTTGTTTCCCTGCTGATTATGCAGCTTTGAAAGCAACATTGTAGGAAGATTTGATGAATCAAATGTACCCGTTTTCTTAGTATCCAAAAAGCGTAGATCGCAATCCACCTTTTCTTTCGTGTTTGAAGATGAACATGAAGGGGCACTTCCATTGGATTCAGGGAGAATTGACCCCCCGTCACTCTTGTTCTTCTTCTTTCTTAACAAGAAATCAATTAGCTTGTCCTCTGTATTGCAGTTTCCACTCTTTGGGTATGATGCTGGAGAACTTGAAATGGTATCAAACGACCTTTTGTTTCCACTGAATCCATCTGATTGTCTTGGGACATCTGGATTGGTATTTTCAAGAACAGATTTTCCATGCTGCTATATGAAAGAAAGTTAATGTTACAAAGTAACTGAAGTATAACCAAGGTTTCAATTCAGACTAGTTATTTAACTGAAAGAAAGCCAAGATTTCAAACCTTTCGTGCATTCAGAAGGCGGCCTTCACCACCAACATTCAAAGCTGACTTCAATTTTCTGCTCTTGCACGAGTTATTTATCCGGAGTTCCTCCGCTTCCTCAATTTTTACTTTTGAAACAGACTTCAGATATTCTTCGGTCACAAGCACATTTGAGGAAACTCCTTCAACGGAAATTTCAGCCTGCAAGAAAAATAAAATGTGAGCATCATAACATAGAGAGACTCTTCGAATACGACACAAACTATCAATGTGCGTTAGCTATCACACTAATGCTTCAGCTCACTTCGATCCAACTCCATCATTATGACTCTACTAGACACACCAAGACACTAACTGCATCTAAAGCAAGAAGGCAATACCTTAATTTCTTTCTTGCAAATATCATTTTCCTGGTGCTTTTGGACCGAACCATTGGGTGTTGAATACACTGCTGGGAAAATACTCTTGACTTCCATTTCTTCACTTTTGACTTTTATGCCAGAAATGCTCGAGGTTTCACTAAATGGGCCAACTAACTGCATTGAAGTATCAGTACCTTGGCTGCTCACAGTTGCATGCCGATCCTTATTTTACATAAAGTACATATATTTTAAAGGAAAAAAAAAAGAAGGAAAAAAACTCAATTCAGATGACAGTGATTAACAGTCAATCAATAAACTAGTTACTAATTTTACCCCGAGGCTTTTTAACCAGGTTGCCGACCATATTCAAGGAACAACTTCTTCCAACTAAGCAAAATAAAAGTACTTTTACTTTTAGTTTGGTTTACCCTAGTATATAACTAAAGTATAGCATCTAGCAAAGTTCATAAATGATTAGAATGATAAATTATGAATGTACTACATTGTCTAAAAAGAAACATAATTTAAGAGTTTGAAATGTAGAACTGTCTAGATATAACAATACAGCTTGCTCCATCCAATTTACAAACTTCTATAAATATTCATCCGTAATAGTGGATCTAATTTTCCTAAATATAGGCACATGAATAAATAGAATGCAAAGATCATCTCAGCACATCCAGACAGAAAATTGTACAAGTATAATGCTGACATGATAATTCTTTTACAGTGTTTATACCCCTGACCAACGTCTTAATCCAGAATATTTCTTTTCTTCCCATATCGTTTCAGATATATTTCATAAATCATAAAGGGAATGCCAAACAAAGTGTGTGCACAATGCAGTTGTTGACTAGATTACTCAGTATTGATGTTGGACAAGGGAATGCCAAACAAAATGAACTCTATCAAAACGGTTTTTTCCCCCTTTTTTTTTTTTTTTTCTTTCTCCTTTCCCTTCTTTTTGAGTAAAAAAAGCAAAACTGTACAGAAACTATTTAATTCTTCCAAACTCTATGCAAGAGAATCTATTTAGCTTTAAGATCTAAAGAGCTAGAATCTTCGTTCATAGACATGATTAGGCATAGCTATTATCACATTGGTCTTCTCACACTTTCTTCCTAAATCCTCTGAAATAGAATCATGATGCAGCATTTCATATCTTTATAGTCGAACTTACGAGATTGAGAAATGACGGAGCAGGATGTTCAATGAATGAACCCGAAGGGGAAAACAGCAATGACAATGCAAATAGGGCACATGTATTTCCCCCAAGGACAACTATATACAAAAGTTCCTTGATCCTTGGATTTCTTATGAGGGAGAAAGTTGCCTAGGGTAATGAAATATATGTGTAAACAGTAACAGTTAAGATTCTCCACTAGAAGTCAATAAAATGAGCCCCCCAACCGTTAAGAATACTAAGAACTAATGAAAATGATTCTGTAAAAATGGAAAAAAAAAAAAAAAAAAAAAAGGAAAAAAAAAAACTATCTTGCAAGAATCTCTACATGCAGTAACCTATCGGATCATTGACAATTAAAAGTGGAATCACGTGTATATGTTTTATGCTTTCATGAAGTTTTCTGTAGTCTTCTTTCTCATGCTTCTTGAACAATGACTTTTTAGATCTCAGAGGGTACAGAGAAAACCTGCCCATCATCTTGTTCTCGGCCCTCTCCAAGAAAAGGCTTCAGTATCTCGAACAATTTCTCTGCTGGTTGTGTATGTAATGGTAACTGATCGACTGTATTAATCTTATCACTTCGTCTCCAGCTCTTTATTGAATTGTGAAGGACGTCAATTTTTTCTCTCAAAGCATTACAGCATGCTTCAAATTGGTTTCTACTTTCTGTCCATGCGAGGCCACATTGAAGCAAAACTAGATCTTCTTCAAGATCATCGATTTCAGAAGCTGCCTTCCGTATCAAAATCTTTAGTACTTGAACGCAATACTTCTCATTCATAGCATTTTCTTCTATAACATCTATGACCATAAAATTATAACAAAAATAAGAACCACAAATGTTGAAGTGAAACAAAGAGAAAAATCTGGCCCAAAATAAGAACACCAAATGTTCAAGTTTACCTCTCCCATAACCGAAGTAAAAGTCAGCCTGCCATCCAGATTCCACACTGTAACTGCTTTCACCAGCATCGGAATAGGAGAAACCTGGAACAATTCTTTACAATCAAATTAACTTGAAACTTGTTTATTCAGATAAATAGAAGAAAGTGACGAATAAAGATCAGTAGAACCTTGATCATACGGCCAATCCCACAGATCCCCGTCCATGAAAGTCCCAGAAAATTTATCCTGCAAAAACAAATGAGCATAACCATCTCAACTCATGCATGCACACGAGAGAAGAACAGCACTCCCGTGATGACAAATCATCTCAATAACCGGATAACTCGATACCATGAGCTTATTACAACTACAGTTCAGAAAAGTGGTATTCAAAATTTATCAGGAAATCTTCTTGTTTCCACTTCATTGCTTAAGAACCTGAATAAAGAATAGTACCGCACAACATTCAGTACGCAAGATCCCCAAGATAAACGTTCAGAAAGTACTGTACATTCAACTACCAACTTGAATTTATAAACCTATAACAACTCCTTATCATTGGGTTCCCAAAAAAAAAATCGACTGAAAAATCTATGTGTTTCTTTGACAATATCTGCAGAATATTCAAAGAGATTATAACTCGAACTTGCACAATTTGACGAAATCAACAGTCCTATTCCTAACAACGCATTTAAAGGGGAAAAACATAGCTAACGAGGCGCAAAACGCTAGATACAATCAATCGGCAGAAAAAACACAAAGCAGAGCAAAATTGAAAATATCAAAAGGAAAAAAAAAACAACAAATCGAAGCTAGCGATATACAAAGAGCCAGACAGAAATAATAATAATTAGAGAAATTCTGAAAACGATAAGTTCGAGAGAGTAAGAAGCAATACGAAAAGAAAATAAAACAGTGAAAACCAACCAGCTAGAAAGTTCTGAAGAACGCAAGCCTTTTCTCAGAAATGCAGTCCAAAAACTAACAACTAAAACTCAGAAAACAACTATTTCCATGAACGATAAGCAGCACAAAAAAAGAATAAAAAACAAGCTAAAGCTGGCGACAATTTACGGAGCTAGCCTAGCCGAAGAAAATCAACCAAAAAATTCTCGAAATACGATGCTCAAGACATAAGAAACAGAACAAAACGAAAAGACACCAGCAAGCTCGCAAATTCCGAAGAACGCAAGTGCAGTCCAAAAGTCAAGAACCAAAGCTCAGAAAACAACGATTTCCAAGAACAATAAGAAACACACACAAAAAAAAAAAACTCAAAGCTAACAACATTTTACAAAGCCAAATAGCAGAAGAAAATGAACCAAAAAGGTTCGCGAATGCAAAGCTCAAGAGAGTAAGAAGGAATACAACCTGGAAAAAAAAAACAGTAGAAACTAACCAACTCGTGAATTCCGAACGGAAACAGTCTCTCACAAATGCAGTCAGATAGTCGACAACCGAATCTCATAACAACGATTTCCGAGAACAATAAGAAGCACAGACAAAAAAAAAAGAAAGAAAAAAAAAACACAGCTAGCGACAATTTAAGGAGCCAAACAGCTACAGAAAATTAACCACAAAAAATTCTCGAAATGCAAAGCTCAAGAGAGTAAGAAACAATGCAAAACGAAAAGTAAACAGTAAAAACCAACCAGTTCGCAAATTCCAAAGAACTCGAACTCTCTCTCATAAATGCAATCCAAAAACTAACAACCAAAGCTCAGAAAGCAACAATATCCAAGAACAAGAGTTACACAACAAAGAAGCAGCAAAAAAAAAAATGAAACAACTACAAGAAGAAGGAAGGATCGTAAAAAAGAGGATGCTTAAAGGAAATGCAGCACATTCCGAGACGCGAAACAACAAAAAACAAGGACAGAAGACGATACCTGAGAGCGTACTGCCACGGCTACTGCAACTACAACAGAGGAGAAGAGACTGAGTGGACAATGCAAGGAGCTTATCCAGTAGAATCCACATAGAGAAAAATGAGAATGTAGAGCAGAGAGCGGTCTAGGGTTTCTGAATCTTGGAATTTGAGAGAGAAATGGAAAGAGAGAGAGAGAAGGCGCCAAGCAAATTTTTTGTCTGACAGAGAGGAAGAGGAAGCAACTGAAAGGGACGAACGGACTCTTTGGGAAATCACGCAGCGGAGGAGGGGTCCTTCAAGGGTAAAACCGTAAATTATTCCCAGGACGTTAAAGCCAAGAAGTTTTGGGCCCACTGGATCAGAAAATTCTCTGGGCCCACTGGATCAGAAAATTCTCTGGGCCCACTGGATCAGAAAATTCTTTGGGCCCACTGTATGTATAAAGACGTAGATAATCTCATAAAATATTTTTTAAATCATAAAAAATATATTTGATATTAAATTATAAATTATGGATTTGGTTTCTACCATGAAATTAAAATAATAATAATTAAAATTAAATAAAAAATTAATTGATTACAACAATAATAGAGTAACCCATGTCTTTTTTTGAAAAAAAATTTAATAGATTAAATAAATAATTATCTTAAAAAATTTAGTATTAATATAAATTTAAGATTTTTTTTTTTTTTTTTTTTTTTGAAATTAGATGGAGAAAAAAGGAGGCATATTATGAAAAGCTTAGTAGACTCTGCAGTGAGTGGACCCCGCCGGTCAAAGGAGTTGACAGAGAGCTGCCACGTCACTGTTAAGGGGACACGTGTAAGGATTTAAGAGGTAAAGAGTAGTGGGCAGTGGTGTGAGCGGACTGGGGGATCTTTTTGTGTCTGACCGTGAAGGGGTAAAGTTATAAATAGGGATTGAAAAGTGAGGGTATATTTGTAAATGGCGAAACCTTCGAACTTGTCACTTTTGGAATCTTGGGGAATCAGAGAATTATGGTACCAATAAATTCTGACATTTTTTGCTGCCGAAAAGCGACACTGACCGGACACGCCATTTTTGCATTGAACACACATATATATATATATATATATATATAAACCCAATATATATTACCGTTGTATGACAAAAGTCTCTCGACTAATTTAGTGAATGATCCTAGGTTTATAATCAATAAATACTCTCTTCATTTGAGGTCATGGGAAGCCTAAAGTAAAGTCACGAGAACTTATATTCAAAATATCAAAGTAGACAAATATCATATTTGTTAGATTGAATGGCACGATGACCTATATGGGTCACGACCTCATATATTTATAGATGTGTATAATGAAGATTACATTCCAAATCTATGATTTGATAACAAACCATGAAATCATAGATTTGGTAATAAACCCTTCAAATCATAGATTTGGTAACAAACTAGTAAATCCTAGATTATCTTAGTATATACAGATATGATCTATTTTAGGTTTAACACCCCCCTCAATCTGAACGATGTACTACTAAGTTCAGATTGCGCCTAAAATAGCTAAAAGAAGGAGCTGGCAGTGGCTTTGTCATGATATCGGCGAACTGATCCTTGGAAGATATGAGTCGAACATCAAGCTGACGAGTCGATACTCGTTCACGAACGAAGTGATAATCAACCTCAACATGCTTCGTCCGTCGATGAAAGATTGGATTGGCGGATAGGTAGGTAGCACCAATGTTGTCACACCATAGGCTAGGCGCTCGCGCTTGCGAGATCCTGAGCTCACGCAAGAGGACTTGGATCCAAATTAATTCGGCAGTGGCATCAGCAACCGCCTTATATTCAGCTTCCGTACTAGAACGAGAAACTGTTGATTGTTTCCTCGAACTCCAAGAGATAAGATTGCCACCAAAGAAGATCACATAGCCTCCAGTGCTTTGACGATCATCAGGATTCCCAGCCCAATCAGCATCTGAAAAGGCACTAAACAAATCAGTGCTGGACTTTGTAAGACACAAACTCATATCAATAGTGTCATGTAGATAACAGAGAATTCGTTTGACTGCCGCCCAATGTATAGAAGTCGGAGAGGACATGAACTGACACACTCTGTTGACACAGAAGGATATATCAGGACGTGTCAGAGACAAATATTGGAGAGCACCAACGACACTTTGATAGCGAGTAGTATCCTCAAGTGAGCTTTTCACCACCATTCAATAACAACTTCTCACTGGGAAGCATAGGTGTGGGCACACCTTTGGAGGTGAGCATATTGGTTCTGGCTAATAAATCTCGAATGTATTTATGTTGTGTCAGAATAAGTCCACTGAAAGTATGACGGACCTCAATCCCAAGAAAATAACTCAAAATACCAAGATCCTTAACGGCAAAATCATCCTGAAGTTGTGTAAAAAGTTTCTCAGTAGCCGTAGAAGATGAGTTGATGATAATAATGTCATCAACGTAGATGAGGATATACATCTGAATGCCCGTCTTGATAGATCATATCTGTATATACTAAGATAATCTAGGATTTACTAGTTTGTTACCAAATCTATGATTTCATGGTTTGTTATCAAATCATAGATTTGGAATGTAATCTTCATTATACACATCTATAAATACATGAGGTCGTGACCCATATAGATCATCGTGTCATTCAATCTAACATGGTATCAGAGCAGAAGATCGAGCTACAAGATATGTTACTGTTCCATCTGTACACACCTTGGGTTTCTTGATATTGTGCTTCAATCGAGTACCATACGGATGAGTAGTAGGTGCAAGATCCACATTTGAGGGGACAGTCGTATCAGCCGTTGCTAGGGGAGCAACCGATGCTATAGTAGTTGGTTGACCAGCGGCCGAGGATTCGACTGGGCATTGCGCAATATCATTTGCTGGCGGAGGAGCCGAGGCCTCAATCATTGGCGGAACAACCAACGCCGATTCGCATGGCAGCGACGCGGAGGATTGCTGCGGCAATTCCGAAGCTGATGTAGACATCAAATTTTCTGCATTCAAAGAGTTAGTAGGCCCAGGCGTATGCATGTGATCATTCTCCAAATTAGTACTGCTATTACCCAAATGCAAGGTGCACAAATCAGGGGCATTATGCGTCGACTGCATGATTGGGGAAGAATTAGGTGGGGCTCTCTTGAATGGAAAAACATTTTCATCAAATATGACATCTCTAGACATATAGACACGACCAGAATCGATGTCAAGACACTTATACCCTTTATGTAAAGAACTGTAGCCTAGAAAGACACATTCCTTTGATCGAAAAGAGAGCTTTTGTTTGTTATAAGGACGAAGATGAGGCCAACAAACACACCCAACAATTTTTAATGAGTAATTTGGTGGGGTATGAAAAAGAAGCTCTAAGGGGCATTTTTTTATCAATGACACGAGTAGGAAGACGATTGATGATATATGTGGCTGTAAGAAACGCGTCGTCCCAAAATTTAATAGGTACATGAGCATGAGCTAGAAGGGCTAGGCCAGTTTCAACAATATGACGGTGCTTGCGTTCAACAGACCCATTTTGTTGATGTGTGTGAGGGCACGAAACACGATGACCAATTCCAAGGGAACGAAAAAATGTGTTATGAATTTTCTGATATTCCCCGCCCCAATCAGATTGGATCCACTTGATTTTAGTATCTAGGATGCGCTCAACATGAGCTTGGAATTGCAAAAATATACGAGGAGCTTCTGTATGATCATGCATCAAATAGATCCACGAAAACTTACTGAAATCATCAATGAAACTAATATAATATTTAAAACCCCCAACAAATGGAGGTGCATGGCCCCAAACATCCGAAAAAATAAGTTCCAAAGGTGACGAAGACCTATGGGAAGAACTAGTATATGGTAATTGATGACTTTTTGCTAACTGACACGCATTACAAACTGGACTCCCTAGCACACGAAATATTATTGAGATGCAAAATTGACTTTACTACTTGAGATGAAGGATGTCCAAGACGTGCATGCCATTGGGCGTGAGTAGTAGATCTGCTCACCAAGGCGTGCTTGAGATTATCGACATCGGATGGCTTAATAGGATAAAGACCAGATTCACACCTCCCATTTAGGAGACTTTTCCTCGACTGTCGATCCTTTATAGAAAAGTGCCAAGGATGGAATTCAAAAAATACGTCATTATCACGAGAAAATTTATGAACGGAAAGAAGATGTTTGGAAATTTCAGGCACATGCAAAATATTACGCAATGCAAGAGGACGAGTAGCAGTATTAATTAGAGAATGACCAGTATGCAAAACATGCAAACCTGCTCCATTGCCGACTTGAACTTGTTCACCTCCATGATAACGTTCACGCACAGCGAGACGATCCAGGTCACTGGTGATATGGTCCGTAGCGCTTGTGTCGCTATACCAATTTGGGTCAATCTTGTAAGAGGAAGTAGCCGCCAGTGTCGTAGGAGGAGCAGAAGAAGGTTCATCTTGATAGGACTCATCCATCCTATGCCAGCAGCGGATAGCAGTATGCCCCACTTTGCCGCAGATCTGGCAGGAAGGACGGGCAGAAGGGCCACGGCGATCACCAGCAGGACGAGAGGGTGCATAACCTTGAGAACGACCACGACCACGATCCCTACGCCCACGATTCTTCTGCTGACTACCACGACTAGCATAATTGGCAGAAGATCCAAGATTTAACTGAAGTTCAGCACGACCAGTATAATTGGTCGAAGATCCCGGATTTAACTAAAGTTCAGCCTGGTGTTGTAGTTGGCGAGCTTCATACGTCATTAGATGTGCAAACACATCATCAAGCGTGAGGGCTTCACTCTTGGTAGTCATTGAGGTGACGAAGGGATCAAGTCAGGGCCAAAACCAGCGAGAAGATACGCAATCACATCATCATCTTGCAAGGCAGAGCCAGCGGCGGCCAGCTCGGTGGCTAGCCCTTTGATCTTGCGAAAATAATTTGCAGCAGATTGATCTCGTTTCTTGGATGTGGCGAGCTCAACACGAATCTGAGTAGTGCGAGCACGAGTTGACGATGAAAACATCCGCTGCAGGGTATCCCACGCCTCCTTGGACGTAGTAGCGGCAACCACATCATGAAGAATCTCCTCAGACATGGAGGAGAGAAGGCCGCTAAGGACCTGTTGATCCTGATCATACCATTGATTATAGGCCGGATTAGAGACCAGCTCAGCACCAGCAGCAGTTGAGGACGGGACCAGCTTGGCAGGTGCGGCATT